ACATATAAAAAAATGCTGAACATCTCTAACCATTAGAGAAATGCAAATCAAAACCACAATGAGATATCACCTAACCCCAGTGAGATTGGCCTCTATCAAAAAATCCCAAAACAACAAACACTGGCAAGGATGCGGAGAGACAGGAATACTCTTACACTGCTGGTGGGACTGCAAATTAGTGCAACCTCTGTGGAAAAGAATTTGGAGATACCTCACAGAGCTGAAAATAGAAATACCATTCGATCCAGCAATAGCACTATTAGGCATCTACCCAGAAGAGCACAAAACATTCTACGATAAAGACATCTGCACCCAAATGTTTATGGCAGCACAATTCACTATTGCAAGAATGTGGAAACAACCCAAGTGCCCATCAATGCATGAGTGAATTATTAAAATTTGGTATATGCATTCAATGGAATATTACTCAATCATGAGAAACGACAGTGATCTAGAACCTCTTATACTTTCCTGGATTAAACTTAAGCCCATTATCCAAAGTGAGGCACCACAAGAGGGGAAGAATGGGCTCCACTTTTACTCGCCATCAAATTGGTACTAACTGATCAACACTAGGGTGATCACATGGCAGTAATACTCTCCAGGGATTAGGGGGATGGGGGGGTAAACCCACAACGAAAGGACGCGGGAAGCATTGTAGGGGGGAAGGGCATGCCTTTAACCCTCACTTGGGTGAGGCAAAGACATAAAGTGTAACCATAATGTTTGTACCCTCATAGTACCCTGAAATAAAAAGAAAAGAAAAAAAAAGAAATCAGTTCATTAAAAAAATTGATTATATTTTCCCACAGCTACCTCTTTAAATCAGGCAACTGAAAAGATGCTAATGTAATTACCATGTTCGCAATTGCATCTGCATCCTTTAATTGAGTCTTTATGACAGAATGGATATTAGCAATTATAGTAGGCATACATAATAATAGTCTAATATTAATGTTAAATGACTTGATTTTTGAACTTGATATTTGCTATTCATCCACACATAAAGTAGATATATATATATATATATGCATTTTTATATACATAAAATGAAAGTTCTTGGCCTAAATTCATTTTTTGATGCCTAATTTAAGTGGCAAATGATTTTAAATTGAGAGACATTAAAACAGAATCTGTCCATGCATAAATTTCCCCCTTGGAGAAAGTTAGGACATATGAAAACTGATTAACATGGGAGTTCCAGTTAGCATGTTCAGTTCCCTGCAAGAAGAGAATTTGACTCATTATGTCTCATTAATTTTAATAATAAGAACGTTCTGTCTTAACTCAAACTATCATCAAACTTAATTTAAAAAAAAGAAATAAGTATTTCCATGTTTTCTATTGGTAGATTCCTGTTGAACTAATAGGAATAATTATATGCGTAAAGAAAGACGACAATGAAGAACTGGGCTTCTAATAGAAATAAAACTGTGAACTAATATTAACATACCATGCAATTTGGGGGATCCTATAAATCAGATGCAATCTATCCTAGGAGGATGTGAAAACCTGGACAAAAGATAAAAAAAAAAGTGACTCGGCCGGGCGCGGTGGCTCACGCCTGTAATCCTAGCTCTCTGGGAGGCCAGGGCGGGCGGATTTTTTGAGCTCAGGAGTTCGAAACCAGCCTGAGCAAGAGCGAGACCCCGTCTCTACTAAAATTAGAAAGAAATTAATTGGACAACTAAAAATATATAGAAAAAATTAGCCGGGCATGGTGGCACATGCCTGTAGTCCCAGCTACTCCGGAGGCTGAGGCAGGAGGATTGCTTGAGCCCAGGAGTTTGAGGTTGCTGTGAGCTAGGCTGAAGCCACGGCACTCTAGTCCGGGCAACACAGTGAGACTCTGTCTAAAAAAAAAAAAAAAAAAAAGTGACTGTTAATTTTTGTGGTGTCTACAAGAACTTAAATATGTTTAAGTTCCAGTGCATACTAATTACAAAAATAGAGTGAAATATTTAGTTCATCTGTATTAGAATCTACTTGCATGTTTAAGAATTCAGGGTCCTTTGTTCCATCAATAAATGAAAATCTCTGAAGGTGAGGGCCTTGGAATCTAAAATTTTAGCGATCTCCTCCAGATAGTTTTTAGGTAGACTAAAATCTGGGAAACACTACCTGTTTATTCCTTTCTAGGAACTGCATTTATAATTTTAGAAACTATAATCAGATGATAGTAACAGTTTGGAAAGTGCATATACAGCAGTTTCTTCGCTTAGACATCTTACTGGCATTTGACAAAAAACAAATGAGATACAGGTATATATTGTCCATTATAAATTAGTAATTAATATTTTCTCATAAAGATAAATATATGCCACATTTTAAAAATTCATAATTATATTCAATAAAGTACCTTCTTTCCATACTGAGAGTCGTCTGGATTTAGTAGGTCATATAAACAGTTCAGTGGGTTATTACCTGCATTTAAAAATAAAATGGAACAGAATAAAGTAAAATAGAATAAAAATATCAAAGACTATCATTTATGCAAAAGGATAAGTATTGCTTTATGAAACTTGTGTTCCAGCTACATGGCTGGGGGTATTAAGTAATATGTATTTTTTATTGTGGTCATGGCCAAATAATTTTCAGCAATTGCAGTGGAGTACCAAGAAGTCAATAATTTCACTTAAGTGCTGGCAGTTATTTAGAGCTTTTGCATTGTTTGTATTTTTTATTTCCTAAATAGATTATATCTGCAATGCTATTGTGTATTAGAAATAGAGAGAGAGTATAAGATGTATATAATTATAGCACTAAAAACATTGAAAATGAAAACAATCTATAGTTCTATAGTATTAAAAATGATTACCATGTTTACTGTTTGTGTCCAATAATTATACCTATTTTACATACTTGTCCTACAGTTATTTAAGTTTATAAAATGCATATTAATTCATATTTGGTTTTTTTACTTGTCACAGTACTATTGGTGTTTAGATAGATAATTAATAGGTATCATGTTATAGTTTTATAATATTCCAATAGTTAATATAACAAAATTTTTTAGCTTTTTTTCTAAGATTAAACATTTGAAATAACTGAGAATTTTCAGTATTATATCTAGTATTACAGAAAACATTTTATTGATTGTAGCTATTCCTATTGGTTTATTGCTTAAGATTCATTCATTCATCATTCATTTAACAAGTATTTCATTGAGTTTCTAATTTTTACTTGGCCCTCTGCTAGTTCCTAGAAATAAAAAATTGACACCTAAAAGACTGCTGCCCCCAAGTAGCTCAGGATTATAAATGTATGAAGAAGTGACATAAGCATATTTATAAGCATACAATTCAAGTATGTGCAAAGTCTTATAGTGACATGAAAGAGGAAATATAAACAATTCTTCAGGGGACAATTAGTTGGGAAGGTCAAATAAGAAATCAAGCAGAAATAAAATAATTTTGTCATAGACATGGCCAGGTGAAATTTGAATGCAACCTCTCTGTCTGGGTTTATACCAGAACACAGAGCCTCTCCTAAATAGCAATTGCAGTACAATTGAGTATACTCAAAATGGATTTGAGGGAATAAAGGAAGTAAAGTCTAGCAGGTTTCATGGCCTTATGGATTTTTAAGATTCAGAAATGGAATTAGCAGGTCAAAAATTAAGAAGATATTTATAACTCTGAAATCATATTGGAATATTTATTTTCAAAAGAGTTTTAACAAACTAGATGGAACCTAACTATAAAAACCTCACCTGGATAGGGTATTCTAAAATAATTTGGGCCTAGATCTTTTAGAAATCTGTATTACAGCAGTGGAGCAAATGGTTAGGTGTTCATAAACTCCCAGATCAAATTATGTATTTAGTTATTGTAACTAAAAATAAAATAATATTACACAAAGCATAAATTTTATTGGTAAATGTATGTCTAAGATTTTATCACATGTGGTCAACACTTGCATTGTATATGTTTTAACAAATATTAGTTTCTGAAACTTGATTTTCATGTACTTATTTAACTTTATATTTAATTTTTGGTTTTATATTAGAAATTGATCAAACATATCTTTTTAAATACATGAGTGATTTTTATTATTTTTCTACTTTTTTTTTAGGGTCTGCCAGGCCCACCTGGTGAAAAAGGTGAAAATGGGGATGTTGGCCCCATGGTAAGTCTGATGGATTTTGTGACACTGTATTTGCTTCCTACATGGACATCTCCCCTTTCTCCCATCCAACCTCCATTGTGAAACCACTGAATGATAATAATATTACCTTGACTATCTCTGTATCTTTTCTCTTTCTCACTTTGGAGTAATGTTATATACTCCAAGTGGCATTCATTGGTTTGTAAGTTGTTACATATTTTTTTATTTCTGTGTATATATTATTTAGTATTGAGGTGTACATAATCAACTGCCACACTTGGTTATTTCTTAGTCTTTAGCTTTGGACTTTGATCTGGAGCAGGTAAAGAATAGATATTCACACAGAATTTGGATAATCAGCAGGTATTAATACAGAATCAAAAATTAGTTGTACTTTGAAACAAATTCTTAATTTAGTAAAGAATTCTGTTTTACTTAGAATGCTATCACTTAATAATTATTTGGATTTATTGCTTCTGGCTTTCTATTTTAAAATAAATAAATAGTCAAGGTAATTGAAATATATAATGAAATGTGATGAATAAATGTCTTAATTGCTCCTTCCATTTACAATTGCCCCCAATTTTTACTTTCTTCAGAATACATATTTTGAATTTTAACACCTGTTAGATTTTATTTTCCTTAGAGACTATTCCTGGATCTATTGTATTCTTTCAGATAATTCTTATCATCACTAATAAACCAAAATACAAGAAATTCATAATAAACGTTGCTGACTCAAATAACTGATTAATACTTCCAAGCAGCATCAGATACATATCAAGTTCCTTTCTAGATATGGTTGCTATGGTTCCCTGAATCATTGATACCTTCTCCCTGATCTTGTGGTAATGGGCAATAATAGAAAATCTTTTTAACCATGGCTTTAGAATAAACTGAGACTTTTGAAAAATATTAATGTCCTGATATTCACTACAGACTATTTTAATCACAACCTTTAGGTAGGGAATTCTGGCCATCAGAATTTTATAAAAAGTACCCCAAATTTGTTTTAATGCACTGCCAGTAGAGAAAATCTTTGTTTTATGAAAGAATTAAATAGGTTTTTGTTATTTATAATTTTAGCATGTAGAACATGTGAATTGATGTACAGAAAAAGCAAAATACATACTAACAAAGATAAATTACACTTCCATTAGTAAATGAATTCTAAATCTTTAGAATTCTAAAGTTTAAAGTTCTTCAAACTTTATGTTCCCTTTATATTCTAGCATAAAATATTTCTAGTTGTATTATGAATAAATTGTACCAGGCATTAGCAATAGACTTTCTTGCCCATTTTCTAATCAAACTGTTTTTCCTGAAATCCTAATTTCCCCACAGCTATGTGTAAAGGATCATTTACTAACACAGTGTTGTATCCATCAAGAATGACTTATAACCCTGATGTGCTTCACTGACTGTGATTTTACAGACTTAAACTTCTTTTAGTTTTCTTAATCACAAAATGAATATGTTAGAAATGCATTTGAATTTGGTCTTTGCAAACTTTCATGATCATCTTTTACAGGGTCCACCTGGTCCTCCAGGCCCAAGAGGCCCTCAAGGTCCCAATGGAGCTGATGTAAGAACTGTGAAGTATATGTTAATTATTTTGAAGTTATATAGGTGTTGATATCATTTCATGGCAGATGCTTTATGAGAGACTATGGAGATAATCACATTATTGTTTAATGTTATAATAGAAGTGTATAAGAACTCAAGAATCATCTACTTATTCCACTGTATTATACAGGGAAAGAAACGGGCTTTACAGGGAACAAGTCACCACAATTATAAAATAGGTTCACAGTTCACATTCAATATATACTTACTGATGAATGAGATATATTAGTGATATTGTGTGTATTATCATAATTTTTCAAACCAAACACACTGTTCAAACCAACATACCTAGACTGTGCCTTGCATATGATAGCTGTTCTATAAATAGTTGCTGAATTCTTTGAAATTTAACCTTTATCTCTGATAATGACATGAGGAGATGGTTTTTAATTGGCTTTTACTACACTAGTCTAGGTCTGTACTCCAAATGTCCTTTATATATACATGTGTTATCAGTAGCTTTTATCTAAAAGCTTTACATTATGTATTACTACTTTAAGTCTATAAAATATGTTACAAAAATATGTGTATAAGTGTACCTCTTACTATGTAAAATGTTTTCGCTTAGTTATATAAAGAAGATAATTCCCTAAGCTTAAAAACTGTTCCAATATTGTACTATTTTGATATGGAATGCCACATCTATCTTTTTGCCATTAATGGATAAATGGTTTTGATGATAATCACTTCTTCTGACTGCACCTTTTCAGAGTGAAGGTCCATGCTTTCCTCATTCCTCTCCCTTACCTTTGTTGCTGTTCTTTTCTGTCTGCTTTTAATTCTGGCAGGCCAGAACTGAGTAAAATAGACTAGGGGCAGATAAACTAAAAGAACTTCTAGATTTCAGTCCCCCTTAAGTAATTTAGGGACTAAAAGTTGGATTATAAGGGGTTTGTTTTTGCATGGATCATGTGATTCTTAACCAGAGTCATGATTTTGATCCACCACAAAATCATCCTCTAAAATAGACCTGACTATTCCATGGGTGGAGAGATTGAAATTATGTTCTGAGTATCAGTTGGCATGACTAGAGCTGAAAAGTCTCCTGCTTTATCTTTGAAATTCTGGTGAATGTGAAAATCAATGTAATATATTAAATTATTTCCTATCCAGTACATTTGACAACTCAATTTTGCATCATTTTGTCCCATCTTTCAAATTACTTAGCATACTCGTTGCATATATTACTCTCTTTGAGAACAACTGTATTTATGAACTTATTATTTCATTACAAGAATATGGATGACTGCACTCCTTTTTCTACATTACAGGGACCACAAGGACCCCCAGGATCCATTGGTTCAGTTGGTGGTGTTGGAGAAAAGGTAAAGATCTTAGTCATATGAATTTGAAATAGCATTATTAAAGATAATAATTAAGGACTGTAATAATATTGAGTAATATTTCAAGTGCTTCTAATGTTATTGTGCTTCTAAGCATTTCACATGTAGTTATAGGATTCATATCTCATCTACTCTAGTAGTTACAAAAATTAAAGTTAACATCATTTTGAAATGTTATGTTTTTGATTGCTAGGTATTTTACTGAATGGCATGCCTTGATTATTTCCTTTAGTCACAGCAACAACCTCACGCTGATATTATTATTATCCACATTTGTTAGCTGGGAAAGCTGAGGCTTAGAGAACTTCAGTAATTTCATCAAGGTTTTTCATTAGAAAGTGACTAAGCCAGGATCCACTTCAATCCATGAATGTCTAGCAATGCTCAGTCCTGAAAATAGAAGAAATTTGTTGATATAACTGTTTTAAAGGGAAAAAGGAATTCCTCAAATCACAAAAGAATTAGTCATTCATTTTGTCATCTTTCATTACTAATACTCTGACTTATCTTTGGCACTTTTTAAAATAGTTGGCATATGCCATAATATGTGGGCTTAGAATAGCTTTCTTTTCTTGTCAACATGATTTCATTTCAAAAATCTGCTCTTCCTTTTATGAAAATGTCAAAATGATTCATTTATTTCTTATTTATGTATTTCATGCTCACTTCTTAGTAAAATTTTCGAGAGAATTATCATTGATATTTTCTTGATTTAAAAAATAAATTACTTACCAGTTTGGAGAAAAGAATTAAATTTTATACCATAATATGTTATGCACTGAAAACATGTAAATATCTCCTTAGTTTGCTAGTTATTAAAGCATATCAGTAGTATAGACTTACGCTAATCTTGAAAATGATTCTGTTCCTTGGTCTCAAGTCTTGTACTTAAATTGACTTATTTTAATTGAAGCGTTTAACCATCAGAAAAAGAGCTGTGATAAAATTAGAATATGAGGGCTGGGTGCTGTGGCTCATGCCTGTAGTCACAGCACTTTGGGAGGCCAAGATGAGAGGATAGTTTCAGGCCAGGATTTCAAGACCAGCCTGGGTAACATAGCAAGATCCTGTCTCTACAAAAAACCTGAAAAAGTTAGCCAGGCCTAAGGCTGAGTTAGGAAGATTGCTTGAGCACAGGAGGTCAAAGCTGCAGTGAGCTATGATCATGCCACTGCACTCCAGCCTCGGCAACAGAGAGAGATCTTGTCTCTAAAAGAAATAAAAAATATTAGAATCTGTTATTTTGAGGTTTACTTCTGGTGAACACTCCCATTCTAGCATTTTGATTTTAATAAATCCTCTATGATGAACTCTTCAGAATAGTTTATTAATTCCTTCAAAAAATTTCAAAGTTGTTAATCTAATTCTTACTGCATAAACAAGTGTAGGTTCTTTGATTGACTATCTCTTTTTTATATTCTTAAATTATAAATGATGCGTTGAGATTATTTGGGTAGCTGGGGGTAGAATTGAAAAAAACATTTTTCATTTAATGCAGTTGTCCTAGGAAGAATAGCATAGGAGAGCACCGATCTCTGAGAATATCGCTATGTTAGACAAATGACATCAGCCTCACACCTTTTCCTCATCTCTTTGCATCATCTGTTTTTGGCTCTAATACTGACTAGATAGTTGTGTGAGGTAGTTTTAAGTTGTACTATCCTTTTCATCTTTTCTTACTTGTTATTTCAATATTTTGGATGTAGATGGAACAGTTTTAAGTACTTCAGTTGCTTCTTTTATGCTTTTTTTCTTTTGTGTTACTCTCAAATATAGTTGTAGATACCAGATGTTTGGGGTTCTGGGGAGCTCCCTTCCACATTGCTTCCATTTAGTTCAAAGCTTATGTAGTAACACTGCCAACTTTGACTCTCACGAGAATGATTCCGTCAATCGAGTGGGTGATTTGACTCTTACATTTAAATGTACTTGATGCAGAATGTATTGCACTAAAAAGCACACAGAGTTTTAAGATTGCTGTTTTTTTTTAAAAAAATTCTATGTGACAAAGAGCAGGATAAAAGTAAAACTTTTATCTTTATTTTTTCTTTAGAAACTAGGGTAATATAATTTGCTATAGATTACAAATTTCTGACATCACCTTTGATTTTAGCTGAATGCATCCTTATTCCTATATTAGAAAGTTTATTCCCAGCCACTAACAATGAACAAACAAACAAACAAAAAAGCTAATATCTTTTAGTCATGATGCATTTTGTTTAAATATATTTATCCTGTTTTTCATGTAATGTATATTTGCTATAAGTGGTTTTGCACTTAAATAATTTTCTCAATACAAGGAAATATATCAGGACATTTTCTTAAGATTTAATACATATTTTATAACTTCAGGCAGAATCTGTATAAGTTTAACTTTGTAGTTGGTGAGAATGAAAAAGGAACAACGATGCGCATTACCCGAAGGATGGACATATTTGAAACACGGACTTCGGTGGGGGGGGAACCAAGGGCAACACACCTAACCTAATCATCTGTACCATGGGAAGGGCGGCGGGAGGAGGGGGGAGGAGGGAGGAGGGGACGGGTATTTGTATACACAAGGAGTGCAATGCGCACTACCCGAAGGATGGACATATTTGAAACACGGACTTCGGTGGGGGGGGGAACCAAGGGCAACACACGTAACCTAAACATATGTACACCCATAATTTGCTGAAATAAAAAAAAAAAGAAAAAAAAAAAAAAAAAGAAAAAGGAACAACAAAACATACAGAGTAACTAAAAATGTTGTAGCTGTTTCTCCTGTAGTTCTTTCTGTGATACTACCATAGGTTAATGTAGTACATAAGAAAACATTTTGTACATGTGCAATAGATTTCCCATATTTCTAAATAAATGTATATATTTCTTATATTAAGTAATTAATATGGGCATTCTATAATTGATTTGAATGGCAAACTACTTGCTTCATTTTAAAGATGTAATGGCTCATGATATTACTAATATATCATTCCTTCATGCTGGGATAGCTGAATGATTCCTCTCTTTATAAACAATGTAAATGCAATATGTTACTTGAAAGGCCTTATCCAAAAATATGAAATATTTGCTGTTCGTCTTGAGAAAGAAAATAATTTACACACAATACTACTAATAATAAATTCATGGAAAGTACTTGATGGCCTCCAACACTATGAAGATTATTTAACAAGTTAAAAATATGTGATATTCTCAAAGACTGAGAAATTATTATATGCACATAAAATAGTCTGGAATTATGTTTACATTTAATCTGACACATGTCAAACTAATTTAGGAGCAGTGGGTTTGTGCCAGGAATATTGGAAATATCAAAGTTAAAAATTAAAGGAAATTCATGCTTCACATTTTTGTCAATTTACAAGGACAATTTCCACCTCAGAATTGCTAAGTCACTGACTTCACAGTTACTAGTATCACTGATTTTGAGTGGAAATACTGTATTACTTTACTTAAATGATTACTTCAATAAGATGTTATGTTTTTATGCATTTTGAAGTAGGAGGCATTAGCAAGAGACTTTCATAGCTAAAACCTACTAGTCTAAGAGATTTATCTATTAGTTTGCTGAGCTAGAAAATAGCCTTCCATATGTAACCAGAAAGATCATAAAGACTATCAAATTTATAACATGTATATACTCAAATGGAGCAGTTTTGATTATTATCAAGTACCTTTACATATCTCATAATCTTTCCTCTGTGTTCTTTAGATATCTACTGTGCATGTTCTATGCAGCAACATATGTACTACCGATTTGTTAATTTGTAAAGAGAAATGAATTCATAGTTTAGTGAAAAACAATTTGAAATTGTTTAATCAACAAACTTGATTATAATATGAATATTGATAGAATACAAATGCATAATTTGTTAGGAAACATGTAGATGTCTGTTCTGATGGTTTGGTGGTAACCTGGGTTGATGTGCTGGCTCTTAACTAGCCAGTGAGAACTGCAGGATCAAGCCTATCTAGTTCTGTCTCCTCATCTGAGAAACAAAAATAGTAAGGTCAGTAATAGAAAAAGTGCCTTCCTCTTATTAAAGTTTTTCAATGCCTTTTAAATAATATAATAATTGAAGGGCTAGTCTAAAATGGTATAATCATAATTGAAGACTGTTTTACAAATGTAAAATATGATTTCTGTGTTCTAATACTCCTTTGGTCTTTTCTTTATAGGGTGAACCTGGAGAAGCAGGGAACCCAGGGCCTCCTGGGGAAGCAGGCCCGGGAGTAAGTGCTGTCTTATTGTCATACAAGGTGCTATTGGTTTAGGAATTTCTTTCAGAGCATTTTCAAACATGTAACTTAACTCCTATCTGTGATTCAGCTTTTACTTTTCCTTTCCATCCCATTATGAATAATCACAAATGCAGAGGCTTATTGTTTAATGACTATGTATATTCTCTGCATATTTTGATTTGTATACAAGCTGAGAAAAGATCCTGTTTGCATAAGTGAGAACATTAAATCTATAAGCAGTTTACTGTATACATTCCTTTTGTTGGACTATCCAGAAAAGGACACACAAAAAAAACCACTACTGCTACCTTAAGTAAACACAAATTGCATTAGGACTATATTAGAGTCTAACATAGATTAGTTTAAACCAGGAGTGAATCTGACCCCAGGAAACATTTGTCAATGTCTGGAGACATTTCTGTTTGTGAAACGGAGTGGTGGTAGCTGCTGGCATCTAGTTAGCAGAGGCCAGAGAAGCTGTCAGACATCTCACGATGCACAGGACAGCCTCCTGCCGCAAAGAATTATCCGGCCCAATGTTCCAAGGTTAAGAAACTCTGATTTAAAACTCATAAGGTAACTATTGTTTTTCTGACGTTGTATAGGGTCCCAAAGGAGAAAGAGGAGAGAAAGGTGAAGCTGGTCCACCTGGAGCTGCTGGACCTCCTGGTGCTAAGGGACCATCAGGTGACGATGGCCCTAAGGGTAACCCGGTATGTTAGTCTGGTTCCCTTTAAAGTGACATTTCTGAAAATAAAATCAAACATAAATTTAGTTAAGCAGAACTGTATTCAGATGAAACTTGAGGAAAGGCAAGGAAACTGGAAGAGGGTTGAAAAGCTGAAACTCTGAAGTCAGGAAAACCAGAATTTGAATCCAGATTCAGCACTTGCCAGTAGGGTAGCCAGGTCCCTGAATAGAAATCCCTCGAATGCATTCTTAGGGTCTTAAGTTTTCTGCCAATGCCCCCTCCAGGCACATGCCAGGATACCATTTCCCCTGAGGCACTTGGCCAGCCCCTTGGGCACCCCAGCTCACTGCAGACTCATGCCCCTAAATGGGCACAGCCCACTGTGCATCTACTCTGCTCCTGAGTCTGGCCTTTCTAGAAAACTTTTAGCACCTTTATTGTTGTTTGCTTGCCTGCTCTTTTCTCTTCTGATCTGAAAAAGGCGTCTGGATCACAGAGAGACTCTGCTGGGCCAAGCACTGGATAGCACTGTTCTCCCTCCATTCCCCACTGGCGGTGTGTGGCTACATTGGCTTCGTGCCGTCTCACTCTCCTGGTTTATCTTTTTAACTCATTTCTTTCTTCCTTCTGTTCTACTTTTTAAACAAATTTCAATAGGCCTTCTAAAATTTTATATAACTTATACTCCCAAAGCTTAGGTCAAGCATCTTTTTTAATATCATATGAACATTTTAAGTATATAACCCTTTACAAAATAGTCTTTTTTCTGCTCAAACATGTCAGATTAAAAACTTTAGAAAGGTTTAGAGAAGAGCAAAAACAGTTAAATATTTACCACCAAAAGCTTTACAAAATCTTAACATTTAGCCAGTTTTTTTTTTGTTTTTGTTTTTGTTAAAGAAAGAGAGCATTAGGGCACCAACTCTTAATTCTGAAAATTGGTAGTTAAAGGAAATAGTTAAGTGTGCTTCCTTCCTTCCTGTTGTGAACCACATTTCAAGATGACTAGCCCTTGTAGATGAAGGAAATTTCTTTTTTTTAACAGAAGAATTCAGTTTAAGAAAGTAAAATTAGAAAAGTACCATTTTATAACTCTAATGAAATCATCACTGCAGACGGCAACAATCATCAATGGCCGAAACTATTAAACAAAAGGTTGTTGGAGCCCCTTGCAATGGGAGGATTACGCTGCCCCATCTTTATCCACCTCCATCAGTTTTGCCATTACTAGAGTGTAGTGTGCCTGGCACAATGCAAGTATTCAGCATAACCTAGAAAGTTTTCTTGCCAAAAAACTTAAATCTGAATTTAACCAAATCTCACACACATTCCTTTTGTGGGGAACATAGAGGGGAAAGAAACAAGTTAAATGACACCAGGGAAAAGCAAACAGATAAATCTAGAATGGGAGACAGTCTAAAAGGATAACTGACCCAGTTTCACTATGAAGGAAAATATGAAAAAGGCATGTGTTAGGGCTGGAGGTGGGAGTAAGGGGAAAGAGGTCCTGCTCTCCATTTGAAGAAATTTAAGAGACATTAAAATAAGGCATAATATGTGGCACTTGTTTGGATTCTGATCTGTATAAGCCTGATGTAAAAAGTTATATTTTGAGACAATTGTGGAAATTTAATATGAACTGCATATTTTAGGTAATATCAAAAAGTATTGATAATTTTGTTAGATTTGATATTAGTATTATGGTTGTATAAGAAAATGTCCTTCTTAAAAGGTTACCACTGAATTAAAGCATTTGCTTTAAAATGATAAAAACAACAACAAAACATCCCAGACACATTTGAGGTCCCAGAGTAAATTCTTCCCTGATCTCAGTATCCTACTTTCTTCACCAGAAGTATTTACTATCTGAACTTGATGTTTACTATGGACATCCATAATTGTTTCCATTGATTTATGTGTACATATCCATAAGTGATATATAGTATTAGTTTTCATCTCTTCAAATCTTTCGAAAGTGGCATGCCATAGCATGTACCATTACATAACTCATACTTTTTAATGTAACATTACCTTTTTGCAATTTGTTCATTCTGCTAGATACATATCTAGCCATTTATTTCACTGCTTTATTATTTTTCATTATAAGAATATTCTACAATTTATCAATTCAACTGTTAACTGATATTTGGACTGTTTCCAATTTGTCATTATTACTAGCAATGCTGCAATAAACATTTTTATACATGAAAAAAATAAAATGAAGTGCCATTTTTTAGTGCCAAACTCACTTCGGAGGTTTTCTCAGAAGGATTAGAAATTGTGAGACTCTGACCCAAAGTTGGTAAAGTTGTGTATATTCAGAAGCATTCTCAATTGATATCACTTTTTAGAAATTTTCTGGTGGAAGAAGAGAAATATTCTTACCAGGTTTTGCCATGACTTTAACCTCTATACTTCAGAATATCATAACTTTATAAAAATTCATTTTTCATTTATTTCTTTTCCTTTAAAAACATCATTCTAGGGTCCTGTTGGTTTTCCTGGAGATCCTGGTCCTCCTGGGGAACCTGGCCCCTCAGTAAGTATCATGGAAAAATAAAAGCATGATTTTGCTGGGAATGTTCCCAGTGTCTCTATTGTTAATAATTAGAAAAAATTCTTAATTATTTTAATACTTAAATGGAATACCAACAACAGAAAGAAAAAAAAAGCATACACAGTAATCACAACTACAAGAAAATTGGCATAGTTGGAGACTATTAAGCCTACATTGCAAGATTGTGTTCTTCATTTGGATTAGTTTTCTAGACTTTGTTGGGTTGTACAAACAAATTGTCTGAATAGCAGCATTATTATTATTCAAAGTTACTGGATCTTTGCTTTTCTCTCTGTCTCTTCTATAATGCAAATCGCCTTTCAAACTGCACCATATTTGTCATGGTAAAAGGATGCACTGGTCTTGTACACTGATTACATCTTCTTCCTTGCCCTGTATCAAGAGTGAACTATACTTAAAACTTCACACAGTAGTAATTTCACAAATTTTTTATGGATAGAGTGAGAAGTACCATGATCTTAAAAAAAACTAAAAAAAAAATAATATTTTTATTTTCTATCTGATATTAATTTATCCCAAGGTAGTCTACCACATCTATTTCTCTGATAAAAATAAATTAATAGTGAGATACAGCTGGTTGCATTTTCTGTTGCCTGTAATAGGGTCAAGACGGTGTTGGTGGTGACAAGGGTGAAGATGGAGATCCTGGTCAACCAGTAAGTAAACCTATTTTTTTAAATCTCTACATAGTCTCAAAGCATTTTACAGAAAAAATCAGAAATGATCAGCCTTTCAAAAGCACAAATGTGTGTGTATACATTTTTCTGAAAAACTTATCAAAGATATTTGAATTCCAGTTAAAAGTCAATGTTACATCGAATGTTTACTTGATGTAAATTAAGAAATATAAGGAAATTCTTCATAATAAAAAATGTACTATTATTACACTAATGATTTTGTCATACTATATCAAACTCAGTTATTTATCATTTGTATTGGATAACAAAAAATTATTTCAAAAACAAATAATACTAAAAGGAACAAAGCCACATTAGTGGCCTGTCATTAGCATGAATTATTTCAATTTCAAACTTAATGAACTCTGCTTAGTATCGGCCTTTTGTGGTTACTATTTGGGAATGACACAGGAATGTACTTTGGCCACACGTTTTCATATATAGGGAGGAAGTAAGGGAGGTCCTTAACTTAAGGGGAAGCCAAAGACACCTGCCCCCCAGCACAATTTTCTCTCTGGGGCCATTCCCACTGGCTACGTGCTGTCAGAGATATAAGCTTATTCTGTGTAGATAAGACTTGTGGATCATATACCAGCATGTTGTGTACACCTTGGCATAAAAATGCTAGTGTTGTACAAGAAGAAATTTAAAGGTAATAGTATTATGGTTTCCCAAATTTATGTGATATGAGTAGAATTATTAACCATATGTTTATGTTAATTAGCATGCCTGTAGGATGCTTACAAGATATAAATTAGCACTTTTAAAAGGACACAGTTTTTCATAGGGGCTATTTGATTGACTTTCTTCTAGTTATGAAAAATTTTACTATATGAATTTGTAATTTCTAACTATAGATATATAGAGGAAGTTTAGAGATCTGAAGTGGGGCTGAGATTTTCCAGGATAGATGTGCGGGAATGAAGAAAGTTGGTTTCAGTCCAGATTTCAAATAATTATGTGGGCCAGAAAATAATATCCAGTTCCTTAAAATGTATTTTTCACATTTTATAGGGTCCTCCTGGTCCTTCTGGTGAGGCTGGTCCACCAGGTCCTCCTGGAAAAAGAGTAAGTTTCTTTAATTCTGTATTTAAAACATTTATTCATTATTCACCATATGTCTAAATTTATGTAATGTATGTAAGCTGTAGGCAGTATGTTATAAGGATGCCGAAAATATCATGAGCCCTAGAGAATAATTTCTTAAATGTGTCAAAGTAATTACTAAAATAGAACATATTTTAACCATTTCACTGTCACAATAAAAATAAAAAGAGCAACTCCTACTTATGGAGTTTTCCACTTCTCTGTGCTTAGATCTCCTCTCTGTGCAAATGTAATAGACTATTAAAAAAGACTCCAGTGGTCCCCTGAACATGAACTCCTGGTGTACTACTTGGGGATGAGATGTCAATAGTCTAGTGTTAGCTTAAAACGTTGCAAAAACCTGAATGCAGCATCAGTAGAATGAGCTCAGGAATCAGTACATAGTGTTAAATTGCTTTGCATTGTTAGACTTCTCTGACTTGGAAACACCATTTTAATGAACAGCTATAGCAAAATATAAATGAATAGTTAATTGTTCAAAATATTGGCCGCAGTAGACACAAGGAGATTTACTTTGCTGTCCTTCCTTACTGTTGTACTATTTTCATAATAAAGCTGTCTCTGTAGACCTGCCTCTTGCAGCTATATAATTTTACAGTGTCCTCTTGTACCTCCTTTGGTCTATTTTCCGACTTATTCATGAAGAAAATATGCGCCAAACATCACAATATATTTCTTAGGCTGATTCCCTCTTCAGTAATTCAAAGTCATAGAGAAATTGGAGCCACTTCTGTTTTCTAATGTTAGGAATTTAAGGGAATTTTTCCCACTGAACATCCTCATATTGAACATAGAATGTGAATGGGTTTTACTTTTTTCTCAGCAATACAAGTTTGAATCAACATTTAGAAGCCAACATTCCTCTTTAGCAGAAATGAATTTATTGTGTAATAAATATTTTCTTTTAATATAATTTACTCTTCATTCGCCAAATACCTTTTTACCTTACCTGTTGTTATTATTATTATTATTGTTTAAAACCCCAAAGCATGGCCTTAGTAGAAATAAATTTATTCCAAAATTGGGATAAATTGGGCTGTTAGTCTTAGAAAATAATTACAAAGTGTAATATGATTTTTGACATCTTTTGGCCTCTTTCTGCTTACAGTGTGACACCAGCCCTTAAAACAGTCTAGTAGCATAGATATCTGCTCCAATATGTCAGACATTTTGAAAGGCAAACTCTCAGCTGAGAGTTTCACTTTAATATATGTCTAACAAATTATTCATTTATAATTTTTATTAAATTTAGCTAATTACCATTTGATATCTGGCATAGATTCTCAACATGGTGGAAGAGTTTTGGGATGAATTCATTTCATTAGCCATACAGTGGTGGGTCATGGCAATTACTGATTTTGGAAACAACTGAATATTTTTGAAATTTTTAAAAAAGTAAATGAATAAAAACAATTTACTAAAAACTATCAATAGAAACATGAAAAAAAAAGGGTTACATAGGTGTGAACCGGTGTATCACATGCCTCTTTTGGATTAATAATACGATTATTATTAAAACTGATGCAGAAGTCTATAACATAACTATTATATAAAATATAATATTTTAAAACATATTAAGCTATTGTATAAAATTGAATATTTTCGTATATTAATGTTGACACTATTGATGCTATTATAAATTTTAAAATATTTCCATTCATATTTACTGATTTTTTTAATCTTGCTAATATAATGTAACAAACTTTTGTCTTCATCATAACAGATTTTTAAATATTTGTGTTTACTACATTGGAATGGATAATTATTAGCATTTATAATTTTAATGGATGATTCCAACTTATAGAAAAACTACCACTTGATTCTAGAATTAAGAAAATGTCATAGAAAATTCAGCACACATACAGAAATTTAGATCATATCTTTGTTCTACAACGAGTCAGCGTTGTGTAGTGGAATGCTCATGTATTCGCATTCTTATTCATTTATGCCTGGCTTAGACCTCTGCATTTGCTAGTGAGATGAGATATAATTTAAGAACATTAGTTAATCTTTGATTCTTAATTCCTTTCTCTTTACGATGAGAATATGGATGCATTTTCATATATTAGAAATAGTTATAATAAAATATATAATATAATAGCACATTAATGAAACATACTATACACCCCAAAATTTAGTTATTTGTGGCTTTAAGAATATGAAGCATAACCAATGATTTTTTTAATTCAAAATTAAAGATTACATGATATTGATAAGTTGAAAGCACTTGGAAAGTTTCTTCTTTAGATTTAAATATGAGATATAATTAGAGACTAGGAAAATCATGTTACACCCTTTTTTGCCAATATTCCTAACTAGACAATCTGATTAAATATTCTAATTAAAAGAAATAAAAACACTTGAAAAAATAAAAATATGTTTAAGTGCACCAATGAGTTGGGTAGGATTTAAGATAATGTATTTGCAAAGTTATAATTGATCTTACAGATAAATAGGCAATGCTCTCACTGAAGAGAGAGCCCAGAAAAGACATAGGATATATGTTAACCTCATTTATGACAAATTGAACATTGCACATCAATAGAAAATGGATAGAATATTGAATAAATTGTGCTGTGAGAGTTAATTTTCTATAGGAAAAAGCAAAAAATGGACCTTACCAATCTCTATTTACAAAACTCAATTCTAATTATGTTATAATCATAAATGTAAGAGGTAAATTTTGGAATATTTTAGCAAAAATTATTGGAGAATAAATTTTTGACCTCTAGTCATAAATTCTGGTCACATACGTGTAATCAGAAAGGAATAGGTTGATGTATTAAATAAATTACAATTTAAAAATTTTCTGTTTATCCAAAAATACTGAAATGACATTGAATAAAAAGGTCTAACTAGGAGAAAATATTTCTAACATAGAGAAAGCTTGAATAGAATCATTTTCCATAATACCTAAGTAGTTCTTTCAAATTAAGAAGGAAAAAAAGGAAAAAAGAAAAAAAACAATAAAAAAATTAGCAAAAGACCTGAGAAGTTATTTAACTCAAATGCCCCACAAATTTCTTATTTGTAGAAATCAAGAAAATGTGTGCTAAAAATCACATTAAGATACCATCTCATATCCACCATTTAATAAAAATTTACTCTGACAAACTAAATATTAGAAAGGATATTTCAAAAACAATGAAGATCGTCATACACACCTGCTGCAAGTTAGGTGGTACAACCCCTTTAGGAAAATAGTTCTATGTTGTCTAGTAAAATATAACATGAATTTTTCCTAGCAACTGGTAATCCTAAGTGTATATCTAGGTGATATATTACACATAGTCACCAAAAGACACATATAAGAGTGCTTATACAGGCTGGGCATGGTGGCTCATGCCTCTAATCCTCGCACTAACCTTAGCACTCTGGGGAGGCCAAGGTAGGAGGATCGCTTGAAGTCAGGAGTTCGAGACCAGCCTGAGCAAGAGCGAGACCCCTGACTCTACAAAAAACAGAAAAATTAGCCGGGTGTGGTGATATGCACCTGTAGTCCCAGCTACTCCAGCTGGAGGATTTCCTGAACCCAGAAGTTTGAGGTTGCAGTGAGCTAGGATGATGCACTTCACTCTAGCCTGGGAGAGAGAGTGGGACTCAGTCTTGAAACAAAAACAAAAACAACAACAAAAAAAAGAATGCTTATATTATCCTGTTCATAATAAAACTCTAGAAAAAATAAATGCATTGAAGTATGTTCATAAACTAAAATAGTTCATGGCAATAAAAATGAATGCATTACAGATGCATTGATCAACAGATGAATCTCAAAAAACTAATATCAAGCAGAATATATAAATACACACATTTAGGTGTGTTTGTATACATATAAAATGTTGAACTGGAAAAGATATGATTTCATTTATATAATGTGCAAAAATACTTTAAAACATGTTTAACATTCAAACACAAGTGGTAAAAATGATACAGAAAAGTTAGGCAATGACTAACAAGTATTTAGGATGGTAGTTATCTCTATGTGAGAAAGGGGATTGTAGTAATTTCATGTGGCATGTAGGAAGTTTCCAATTTACTGATACCTCACCGTATTATGTCATACATTTTTAAGTTGAGAGCCTAAGATAATAAAATACTTAACTGAGTCACTCATATCATTTTTTTTCTTTAGTAGTATTACAAAGTGCTTCAGTGGAGTTCACTCTTTGATTTTTAATGAATTATTTTAAAATAACTTCATAAATATTTTTAGCAATGTTCTGTCCTCTCTTTTTAAATAACAATTTATACAAATATGATGATCTATTTTTAATCCATTCTAGTCACTTTATAAACAAACTTAGAAGTCTTTGTATCCATGAATTATTAATGACATGAGAACTGTGATGACTCTGCATTGCTTACAAAGCTATTCACATCCACTTTGATACAGAAGAAAAATCAATTGTAGGTCAGCCGGCTTGAGCAATAATACGCAGGTTTTTCTCTTTCGAATGTGGCATCATTAAATCGAACCTGAAAGCTGTTTAGCACAATGTGTTAAATTGTTTCCTATACTAGGTTTGAATAAACTGGCATGCTTAATTGAGCTGGTCTGTTGTACACAATAATCTATTTTCTTCATCAGAGTAAAACATTTTAGTGGTGTGAAAAATTAATGTCAATAGTCTTATTACTAAAACTGATTTTTTTTCTGATTCAACACTAGCAATTAATGCTTACACTCTGTTATATTATAGCCAACCAAACTAGTTAATTTAGCCAATAGCTCTACCTTAGCCTAAGCAAATAGGTGGTTTAACTAAAAATAAAAAAATGAAAACATAAATTATTTACTAAGGTGATTTGCAATCTATAAACTGATGCTCTTCATATCTTAATATCAGTAGCAAGTAGTCCAGAATGTTGTTGCATTAGAATTAGACAGAAATGGTTTCAAATCCTTATTTTGCTTAAATAAAAATGTAACTTGGAATAAGTTAATTTTGTTGAGTCTCAGT